CCGCAGCTGCTGCTGTTGCAGGCACCAAGGAGCCTGAAGGCAGCAGAGATGTCTTAACAGCTCCAGTTAGGTAAACTTTACAGCTGTTAGATAAGGAGGACTGTGAGTAAGCAAGTACGTGGGGAATGTTTGTGTTGTAATGTTAAATTGAAGAGGTTACATACCAGATTTGTGCCGCATACCACTGAAACTATATAAAACAGATACGCAGAGAATATTGAAAGAAAATATGCAAAAATGGATAGTTATTAATAGAAAAGTAGGATTATGGATGACTTCTCTACCTCTTTTTTTAAAATAAATATGCTTTTTATCCTCCTCGATTGCTTTTTGTAACTCAAAAAGAATTAAATGAAATGCAACAGGTAAAAAAAGGAAGAGTACATGTGCCAGGCCAGAAAACTATAAAAACCGATTTCTTTAACAAAGAAGCAGCTATTTCTCACGAGGAGGACTGGAGAAAGTCAAGATAAACCTGGAAATAATTCAGATGTGTTTCAGTTGGAATATTCTTTGCTTTCCATTGAATGAAATGTTAAAAGCTATGAAACTCATCAAAACTTCAGTTTATTTCAAAATGACATTTACAACTCAAATCCACTAATGAATAAAAGGTGGAAATATACTTCATTACCACTCATAACACTCAGTTGGGGAGAACATGGCATCCACTTCACACATACACCAAAGAAAAAAAAAAAAAAAACCCAAACCCACTGCCGGTGCAGTCGATTCTGACTCATAGCAACAGAAGCCATTACAATCCATTGTGACTCCATATTTGTAGGCTTTTATGCATTTTAATAGGTGTGAGGAGATAGCTATTAATAAATTACACGTTCGATTTTTTTAAAACTATATAGCATTTGTGGTTTTAAATGAGTGCAAGTACAAAAAATAAAAACATGAAGATGGGTAGCATATCACAGAGTTGCTATAAAAGAACAGTGGAAAAGACTGACGTATTTTCCCCCCAAAGAATCTTCATTAAAATTTGCTACTACCAGAAAACAAAGTTTGAAAACAGGATTTAGCTCATTATAGGGCCACAAAATCAACATAATTAAAGCAAATTCCAAGTCCTTTTGGAACCCAGGCATGTTCATTTGTTCAGATTCATTTACTCATCCAACTCACTTATTAAGTGCCTATTATGTGTTCTACTTGGGAGGGAGTATAAGAATGAGTAACACATGGCCCTTGCCTTCCAGGAGCAGAAGATCAGAAATACTGAAGAATAACTTTGTAATAATACAAAGGAAGAAAATGCTATGTACCATAAAAACGGAACAAACAGGTGGCGTGGGAGTTCACGGCTCTGTGTGGATAGGATCCCTACCCCCTCCACACCCAAGTCTCCAAAGTGCAGAACATGAAGGGGAAAACCCTTTCCCAGCAGGTTTCCAGGGCTCCCAGCCAGAGCTCTGTTTGCTCTGGTCACACTGTGTGCCCTGTCCCCTAGTGCTGTCTCTGCTTCGGTGGTACTTCCTTTGATCTTGGGCAAGTTATGTAGGCTTTCTGTGCCTTAGTTTTCCTTATCTATAAAATAGGACTATTAGTACCCACTTCATAAGTTTGATGTGATTAAACGCAAAGTGTTCAGAACAATGCCTGAAGAGTAGCAAGCGCTGATAAGAGTTAGTTACTATTATTGAGCTCCTTTCAGAGCACGAGATTCATCACCTCTAAGAGGGCAATTACAATACTTGTGCTGCCTGCCTCCAAGGGTTCTTGTGAAGATCAAATGAGATGATGGAAGTGATGAAAGATTTTGAACAAAATTAATGCTTATTGAACAACTACTAGATGCCAGGTGCTTTACAAACGTTTCACTATTTATGCGATAGTTTTTATTACTCCCATTTTATTGGGAAGGAAAGTGATGTGATGGACCTATGATTTAAACCCATTGACTATGAAGTCCATCTCTGCACAAAATATCATTTAGAGCAGAATCCCCTGTAGACCAGTCTTCATCCTAAATGTAGCTCATGTGGGGGGTGAGGACAGAGGAGACAATGGGACGGGATGTGGAAAAGGGTCTTCCGGTGTGCGTTTATGCATAGGCAGCAACCACCTACCTACTCTGCCTGCCCAGGAGAGGTGGTCTGAGTGTATTTGAGGGGTGGGAGTGGGAGGAAGAGGTGAGAGAGTATTTGCATATTTTAATCTCTAGCAAGACCTAAATTTTAGAATAACCAAAACAAAATTCTACAGACTCCTAAGCCTCAGATCACAGTGTTTGGGGAATACTGGCCACCTTGTGTTCTGGTCAGGAATTTAACCTGCCCACATGCTGCTCCAAGGCCTCAGAGCCAAAATTCAGGCTAAAATGTCTACCTCAGTACTTCTTATTGTTTTTCTCCAGTGGAACATGCAGATATAACAGTGAGAAGAGAAGGGAGGGCAAAATGACTGGGAAGAAGCATTCCAGTTAGAAGCTGAAACTGAAAGGAAATGCATGGAATTCTTGATAAAAGAACCCAGCAACTATAACAGGATTAACAAAATCACACACCCTCAGGGCTGTCACCGTGGAAAGGAGTCATTCAAGATGCCAAGCACAAAAAAAAACAACAAAAACAAAAGCTACTTTTTTAGGGGGGTGAGTGGTGAAGAAAGATTCGGAGAGAGAAATTTTCTGATTTAAAAAAGGGTAACTCCCATTTTCAGAACTCTTTATAGTTACACACATATATACACACACACATATACGGACACACACATACATACATATGTATACACACACATATACATACATACATGTATATATATACACATACACACACATACATGAAACAAAAAAGGGATTTGGAAACAGCCAGTTCGGTGATCTTTTTAGCCTAGGCTTTAAATTTGCTAAACTCACTTATTAGTCTTAGTAGCTGTTTTATTGATTGACTCTTTTATGTAATAAGGATCCTTGAGAGCCAGATACTGTGCTAGGTTGCAAAGGGTGAGTAAGAAGGGACAGGAAGACAGCGGACAGACACAGGAAGGCAAATATCCAAGGAGGAGCTGGCAGCTAGAATTGATGTATATAAATGAAGTACTTAAGACTGTTTCAGGAGTCAAGCTAGGGTATATGGATGATCATTGCAATCTGTGATTCCAGCCTCAAATTAAAACCAGACTTAAAATGGCCACTGCTATAAGAAATTATTTTCACGTGTCTTGCTTATATTTCCTTGTTTGGGGATAATTAAATTTTTAATAGATTCTGCAGTACAATAAATTACTTAACATGGCCCTTCTAGCCATAGTCTTTGTGACTCACATACCGTGGCTGAGTGGGACTATGCAAATAAGGTATATGGAACCTGTGATGGTTGGAGTTATGTGCCAATTTGGCTAGGCCGTAATTCCCAGAATTGTATGGTTGTCCTCCATTTTATGATCTAAGTATCCTCTATTTTGTGATGTGTTGTGAATGCTAGCCTCCATGCCTGTAGTTGTGTTACTGAGGCAGGATTAGGGATATATCTTGAGTCACCACTTTACTAGAAGGTATGACTCAGTCACTACCCTTACTAAAGTGTGTGACTCAAGTCACCCACTGCCTTCTCAACTAGGCGAGTTTCCCTGAGGGTGTGGTCTGCATCAAATGTATATGAACGCTCTGGGGAAGTTCCCTCTAACTCTGGATCCCCCATCAGGCTCCTGATCATCTGCCCTCTGGTTCTTGGAGCTTGAGCCAGCAGCCTGCGTCTGACCTGCTGGTTTGGGTTGGTCAGCCCCTGAAGCCACATGGGTTGGGAGAAGCCTCCAGCCTGATGCTGACCCACGGATTTGGGACTTGCCAGCCTCCACAACCACGTGAGTCATTTCCCTGAGATGTGGTTCATGAGTTTGGTGAGATGTCACAGCGAATTATGGAACCCAAAGACAGGAGGGATAGTACTGAAGGGAGAAGTAGTTGATGTTAGAGATGATGGAATGGGACAGTAGTTTGGAAAAGTTGTACATTTGGGACATCTTTAACCTCCACCTCATAGGAACCAGCTTTGTGCTGATCCCTATTAAAGAAATTATTCATTCAGCTTTGTAAACCATGAGTTATAAATCATTGACTATTGCTATTTGTGGAGTCCTGGTGGCACAGTGGTTAACAGCTTGGCTGCTAACCAAAAGGTCAGCAGTTCAAATCCACCAGCTGCTCCTTGGAAACCCCCTGGGGCAGTTCCACTCCGTCCTTTAGGGTTGCTATGAGTCAGAATCGACTGGATGGCAACAGGTTTGGTTTTGGGTTATTACTATTTATAGCTATCACAAACCAAACACATAACATTTATTTTTCATTAATCAATGTTTTGTAGTAATTAGGTTAGATTTTTTTACTTTCCTTATTGATCGTTATATACAGAGTGACATTCCAATAGGACTGTTGCTTCAGAGACTCTACAGAGAAGTCTTAAATCATGGAGGCCAGCTCACGAACAATTAGGATGGTGTTTGGATTAGGAATAGGAAGTACATGTAACTAGTTTAGAGGCTTGTTGCATATCATTAACCATCTTAATGCAGCATTATACTAGGAATCTAAATGGTTCATTTCCTTCTAACTACATTTTTGGCAACCAACCAATATCTTGAACTTTCCAAGATCTGGTTAAATTTTAATGGAATAGAATGGATGGTACAGATCAGAAAATAATGATCTTTCAGGAACTCATCTATACAGCCTACCTGTGTCTCAGCATTTGCTTAATTTTCTGAGTTGAATTTAAACTTGTCAAAAATTAAACTGCATGTCATATAAAGTTACAAAATAGAAAAGCAAACAATTCAAACTTTGGGAAAGTTACTGGCCTGTGGATTGAGAATTCTTGGGAGGCTCATCTTTTGATCAGAGCCAAGTTTAACATCCACTCTTCCATACAACACAAAAGTGGGGGAAATAATGCAAGCTTACTATTTTAAAAAGTGTTTTTTTAGGAACAAATAAAAAAAATTATAAAAGTACTATGATATACTATGGTAAATAATGCAATAGAAAAATAACTCTCAAATCAGCCATTGGAAACACTGTTTCTAATCACCCAGCCTCAGTAAACTCATCTCTTAAATTAGCTTCAGCTCTATAGCCCATTAATTAATTCAGTAAAAATTTAGAGAGCACCTGTACCTCTCAAGGGCTGTGATGGGTACAATTCTGCAAATCTGGTTCAGATCTTCCAGTAATTACCATGATTCCTCTACCCTATCCCTACCTACCTCACTCAGACCCATCACATGGCCTGTATTTCTAATTTGGTTATGCAGCTAGTCCTTATTACACCACATGTAAACATCTCGGCTACACGTGACATACACGGAAAATTGAAAGTAGAAGAGTGATCTTCAAATTGGGCTCCATGTAACCACAAGCTTACCTTGCAGAGGACAGCATCAATCTGGACATATACTATTTGTATCTGTTTCATCCCTACCAAAGACCCATCTTCAATTTGTGATTCTTCTGCAATAAAATATCAACAGTTGAGTGTCACACTTTAAGAGTCTAAAAATTATCAAGTTTTAAAACTCTTAAAGCAGCACGTTTCTCCAGCCGAAATAATCTAATATAAAAACTTACTATGAACTTTAGAAAGAAATGCAGGGGACATTTATGAATGACATGGATGTTCATAATACCTGATATGCAGGTAACATATAAAAACAAAAGGTAAATTATGGAGCAATTATTCAAATGACCTTATTTTTTAACTTTTGTTTTACAAGTTTCCCCTAAAGTAAATAATTCAAAGCAGTGTACATAAACAATATGATTTCGATCATGCATAGCCTATGGCAAACTTCCACGTTTAGCTTAGGTCTTGAATCATAATTTAAACTACATTTGCTAACCTCCTACTTTTACCGCTCTACCATAACTGAAAGATATTGCAAGGCGGTGACCAGGGTTTCATTTCCAAGAGACAATGAAGTGAAGCCCGACCTGGACTATGTTGCTGCTGAACAGCTGTGTACGCTTGAGCTGGGTTCCCATCGTTCTGAGCCACAATTTCCTCCGCTGTAAAACAGATAATATCACTTACCTCACTGAGTAATTTTTGTTGTGTGCCATCAAGTCGATTCCGACTCATAGTGACCCTATACGACAGAGTAGAACTGCTCCCTAGGGTTTCCAAGGCTGTAATCTTTACGAGAGCAGACTGCCACATCTTTCTCCCAGGGAGTGGCTGGTGGGTTTGAACCGCTGACCTTTCCTTAGCAGCTGTGCTCTTAACCACTGCACTACCAGGGCTCCCACTGAGTAATAATGAACAGGAAAGGAGATCATATAAATGAGTATCAGTTGATATTCATTTAATATTAGTACAGTACAGTCCCTGCTACCCGTTGTTAGCTGCCATCCAGTCAGCCCTGACTCTGGGACCATTGTGAGCCACAGGATTTGCCAGGCCTTTCTTCCTAATCTGTCGTCATCTGGGACCTGTTCGGCATCACAGCAACATTCAAGCCCAGTGGTGGCTGTGCTTGAGGTGCATTGGCTGGGAATTGAACCCGAGTCTCCCACATGGGAGGCCAGAATCGTATCACTGAACCACCACGTTTTAGGCACCTTTAAACCTCGGGCACAACAACCCCTCGCCTCTCTGACTCTAAACACAAGCCTGCAGACAGGACCTCGCACGGATTGCCCTCTCTAACCTCGAAACCACCCTGCGGCTGTCCTGCAGAGGGAGAGGAGTACCTCTTCAGGTGTAAAGTTGCCCCCAGCTCTGGATGCGGATCTCGAGATCCCCCGACGACTTCCTCAGGGACTCTGCTCCAGGGTATCCCCCGGAGAGCTGGTAATTATACATTCTGATTTTCCCTCACTCTCTGGCTGGCTCCTTCATTTCAGCATTAAACACTCTAGTTTCTTACTTTGAAAAAGAAAGGAAACTTCTGACTCCACCTCCTGCACAGTCCTATCTTTGACTCCCCTTCAAGGCCACTTTTTAAAAAGAGTTGTTTACAACAGGCCGTGTCCGGGTGCTCACCTCCCACTCACTCCTCGTTTTACTTTAATTTGGCTTCCAACTTCACCAAACCAAAGTAATGTTTTTCATTAAAGCACCAGTTGATTTCCTTGTTGCTTCATTCAGTGGCTGCTTGGTTCTTAGCCCTTCAGCAGCATTCTCCTGGGCTCAGGGCACTGTGGACCACTCCCTTCTCAAAAACCCTGCCCAAGTACCCAAGACCTCTTGTCTCCCATTTCCCTTTCCCCAGCACCCTTTGCGGGTTTCTCTTCCTCAGTTCCCCAAACGTTGGTCTTTCTTAAAGGCCGGCTAGTTGGCTTCTTTCTTCTTCAGCATACTTTCCCTCTGTAAATTCATCCACTCTCAAGGTATCAGTCATAGCAGATGTCCTTATTTCCCCTAAACAGCTCTGGTTTACGCCTGCATAACTATTAATAGCACCCCTCCCCACCCCAGAGTTTCAGTTATACAGTCTCCTTATCAATTGCCATTTGTATGCAAATGATCCTGAGTTGAGGCAATAAAGCCTGAGGCTGAGATCCAGGCCCAAGTCAGCCCCCTGGGTTTATATCCTGCTCCACCACCTGAGACCCTGGGCAGATTATATAATCTCTAGGCTTCAGAATCCTTATCAACAAAACAGGAATAGTAACACTATTGATTTCCTAAGAACCCATTGCCCTCAATACCAACTATAGCAACCCTATAGGACAAAGTAGAACTGCCCCCATAGGGTGAATTTGAACCGCCGACCTTTTGGTTAGCAGCCGAACGCTTAACCACTGCACCACTAGGGCTCCAATTTCTTAAGGAGGATTAAATGAATCAATGCATGTAGATTTATTAACACAATACTTGCCACATTTTGGAATGCTCAACATGAGGTCCCTCCGAGTTGTAAATCAACACGCTTAACAACAATCTTTTCCTCCAGCCCAGACATATCTCCTGAGTTCTAGACCTATTCAGGTCAGTAGAATAAGGTTCCCTGGGAGGCTGGGGAAGGAGTAACTGTGTGGGCCTCTTCTCACTTCCAAAGTCTCTAAGACACCAAATTATCCTTCCATCAAAACGGTGGCCGAATTCCTAAAATAATTCTCCTTTGACCCTTAAACTATCTTCCTAACAGTAAATATTGATGATCGATGGGAATGACGGCAGCATATTCTCCCCCTGCATTTTCAGAGAGCTGCTATGCAATTTCTGCATGAAACATTGGCTGGGGAAATAAACGCTGCTTCTCAAATACTTGGATCAAGCCATTTTTATTTTTCATGACTTTGGTTGTTTCCTCTGTTCCTAAGACAGCAAAATCTTTGAATGACAGCCTGAATATAGAATATGTCAACCATCTCTTGGCAACAATAAATAAATAAAAATAGAACTCTTGAAAATACACTTTAGAAGGGAGAACCTTGTAATATATTTTGGGAAGCTGTGGACAGTGACCAATTTTACTTCTGTTTTAGGCTTTATAGCTATATACTTTGGACAAATTTCTCCTAATCCTTAGAAACGTTTGTCTTACTGTGATTAAAACATTATTTCCAAAACAGTATAGTTTTCATTTACATGTATGTGTCTTCTAACATAAAACTTCATCATCTAGATTTAAAAAAAAAAACAAAAAGCCTCACTTTCATTCTGTATACTAACATATCGCCACCATTTTGCACTCTATTAACTTTTTCTTTAACTGAGGATGTGATCCTTCCCTCCGCAGGGCTCTTCAAAGCCTGTGGAGAACATGGGCTGTGGGCTTTTTTCACCTGTGTTTCCTCATGTGACTCAGCCTGGAATGTACCCTAACCCCTTCCACTTACTGAAATTCTGTTCTTTAAGATGTAGTTTAAAAGGCAGTTCTGTCACAGCCTTCCCTATTATTCCAGCCAGAATAATTTCTCCTTTCTCGGACGGGATGCTTCTGTTTAGCCCTTAGTTCTGTTTTGTTCTATAATCGTGTGACTTTCTACCCCAGTACATCCTCATTAAGGAGACCTGGTGGCGCAGTGGATAAAGCGCTCGGCTGCGAACCGAAAGGTCAGCAGTTCAAACTCACCAGCCACTCTGCAAGAAAAAGATGTGGCAGTCGGCTTCCATAAAGATTACAGCCTTGGAAACCCTATGAGGCAGTCCTCCTCTGTCCTGTAGGGTCACTGTGAGTCAGAATGGACTTGACAGCAATGGATTTGGTTTGCATACATCCTAGTGAGCCTTAGATGGCAGTAGGTGGGTCACACCCATCCTTGTACCCAGACCACCCAGTGCCTTGTGCATAACAATACTTAGCATTCATTGAGCACTTGCTCTGTGCCAGGCCTATTTTACTCTCACAAACCAGTAAGGTAGGAACTATTATTTCCGTGTGATAGAGGACTAAATGGAGGGTGTGTGGGTGTGTGTGTGCACGCGTGTGTGTAGGGTATATACATTACCCGAGGTTGCCCAGTTAGTAAATTGCAGACCTTAAAAGTATCCTTAAAAGGGAATGATCTATTATTGACAGTGAATCTTCTGACTGATAAGATAAACTTAAGGTTTTGTTTCTTTCGAAGGAAATAGGGCTCTAGAGCCTGAGCTTTTAACTTCTGCTATAAAAATGTGCTGAAATTAAGAGGAAAACATTATCTTATCTAGAAAGAAATATTTGCATGTAGGTTTCCTTTTTATTCTCCTTTGAGAAAAACAGAAAAAAAAAATGTTCTGTGCACAGCTTTAAATTTTTCTTTGAAAAAACAAAGCAGGTGTGATGCTTAGTTCAATTTCCATCACTCTGATAGTTAACTAGGCTTTCTACGGGTGAATCGACAGCTCAGTGCTACAAAAAGCTATATTTGTATTTGGAAAAAATTTTTATACTTATGCTGACTAGAGTCTAACCAGTGGTTGAATAAAACATTCCCATAGCTGAAAAGGAGCCCTGGTAGCGTAGTGGTTAAACATTCGGCTGCTAACCAAAAGGTTAGCGATTCAAATCCACCAGCCGCTCCTTGGAAACCCTATGAGGTGGTTCTACTCTGCCCTATAGGGTCACTATGAGTTGGAATCGACTCAATGGCAACGGGTTTGGGATTTTTTTTTTTTAAATGGTTGAAAAAGAAGGGTGATCAGGTTGCTCATAATGACTGGTAGCTTTCAACTGATAAACAGGCTGGACTCAGAAAATTCAAGTGCACCTCTTTCTCCAGGACCGGCCAAAGAAGCCCATTTAACCAGTAACAGGATCACTCAGGTCTATTAGTCGGCCTGGGTATGAGTTCTGTTTCTGCCACCTTCAGCAGTCACTTCACTTCTGTGCTCCTTGTTTTTTATCCTTTAAATGGGAGAAATGTTTCCTCTAAAGAGATTACACAGAAGACCTTTTAAAATGCTGTATTATTTTATTACTATTATTGTTGTCATTAACACTTTAGTGTCTGAATACCATGTGCAATAATATTTCTATGGGGAATTTTTTTTTTTTTTTTAATTTAAAAAATGGGATTCTAAGAGCCAGCCTCTGTCTGCCTTGGTCCCTACCCCCTCTATTTCATAGCAAAATCAGGAAGACCTGGGTTCCCACTTCCCCATATGTTGGCAGTGAGCTTGGGGATCTCCCCAGTTCAAGCCCTAAGACTTGAAACAGGGATGAGGACAAGGTTCAGGGGGTGAGAAAGCTGAGGGAACAGGAATCTTTGCCGAAGAATGAATGTCCTGTCGCCCAGACACACAAACCAACTTCTTAAACTAGGCCTTTTCCCGAGTCACAGCTTTCCTCCCTTCAGCTCTCAGGTTGGACCTACTGCCGTGTCCAGCAGAGCTTCTCCCCTGCCCCAGTCCCCTGCTCCTCACTCTCAGCTTCTCCCTCACCCTCCAGTTCCAAAAAGAAGTCAACAGCACTGCACTGCTTACCTTAGGGTTAACTGTGGTAATCAAATGAAATGCTCTGTATAGGCCACAAAGCTATGTTGTTGTTGTTGGTAGATGCTGTAGAGTCAATTTCTATTCATAGTGACCACATGTGACAGAGTAGAACTACTCCATAGGGTTTTCTAGGCTGTAATATTTACGGGAGCAGATCGCCAGGTCTTTCTCCCTGTAGAAAATAAAAAAACACAGCGGAGCTCACATGGGTTCTAACCGCCAACCTTTCAGTTAGCAGCCGAGCGCTTAATTTACCTTACCAGGGCTTCTCCACAAAGCTCTACAAATGTTAACTGTTGTTATTCTGAGCCAACTCGGCTGATCTGGGGGATGGGATTTAGTGGTTAAAGTTTTCCAGTTAAATGAGATATTTAACTTAACAATTATTTAATAATACTGCGTACTCCAATAGTATGTGGTTTTACCTGCTTACCGATTTCTTCCTCTTAAGAACTCTAGGAAATAGGTACTTTCTTTTTCTCCATTTTACAAATAAGAAAACTAAAGTTGAAAGAATTGAGCAATCTGCCCAAGTCATCCATTTTATAAAAAGCAGAGCTGGGAGTCAAACCTGGTGTCAAGTCTTTGTGGTCAACCACAACATACAAGATTGCACTGATGAGAGGCTTCACATCCTTTCTCCAGTTCCCAGCTCAATTGGCTGTTCACCTTTATTGTACACTTTTAGAAATTTAGCAGTTTATCAATCACTAATCCTTATTATGAAATACAGTTCTCTTTAGTGCTGTGTAGTGAAGCTGGGTGGGATGGAGAGGGCTGGGCCAGCGATTCGCTCCTACGGTGGTAAGTGCCCGAGAAAGGCTGGTCAGAAAAGTAAAAATCAATGTTTAAAATAAAAGGAGGTGACTGGAAAGTACTTACTCATTAAAGTAACTGGTGACTTAAAATGTACTTCTCAGTTGATTCTAGATCTCTTCCCTAGATCGACTCCTTTCCGGGCCGCGTCAGTGTGGCCAGGGTGGAGAGCCGAGAGCCTGGGCTGCGAGGTAAGTCAGTGAACCTCTCTGGGTGATGCTCACTTGTAAGCCAGCCTCTGGGGAGAAGAAGCCATTTCCGGGGGCCTCTGGGGCAAATGATACAAGTCAGCATTTACTTTCTTGCTTTAGGAAGCGGAAGAGTAATGACCGAAGTGTCAAGATTTGGCAAATCTGAAAACACGAATTGGTAAGTAAATAAAAACACAGCATCGTCCTGGAGTTCATCTTTGAGCTTGTTTTTGTTTCACCTTTCTCAGTAAATAGGGTGTATCGTATATTGACTCTTCCGTGGTTTTTCTTCCCTTGGCTCTTGTTACTGTAGCTTTTTAGTCTGTTCAAGGCTAAAAAAGTTGGTAGAGGGTGTAGGGAGAGAAAGAGGGTGAGGAGAGAAGGGGGAAGTGGGAAGAAAGAAACGGGAAGCTGATGAGAGATTTCACCTCTTTCTGATTAATATTTAATGACAATAAGCCCTGGTGGTACGGTGGTTAAGGGCCCGGCTGTTAACCAAAAGGTTGGCGGTTGGAACCCACCAGCCGCTCCAAGGGACAAAGATGTGGCAGTCTGCTTCTGTAACGATTACAGCCTTGGAAGCCCTCTGGGGCAGTTCTACTCTGTCCTAGAGGGTCAGTATGAATCAGAATCAACTAAACGGCGATGGTTTTTTTTTTTTTTTTTGTAATCCTGCATTTTTATGTGACATATTGCAGTTTACAAACCGCTTTAAAATCCTGTCACTTGATCCCCACACCATCCTGCTGACTCTAAGAACAGCCCATTCCACAGCTACAGAAATGGAGGCCTCATGTAAATGGCTGCACAGTAAGTGGCAGAGCCAGGACAGTAACTTTGATTCCTTCTCTAGGGTTGCATTTGAAACCGGCAGCTAACTGGAGGGGAGGAGTATGCTTAAAAAGGAGAGAAGTCTTCAGATTGATTAGAAAAGCTCAGGGCTTTGTCTTTGTCTTTGTCTTTGTTTGGAATGGTAAGATTTCCCCACAGGAAATCCCCTACACTTCCCCTTCAAATACCAAGGTGAAAGAGAATGAGGAAGTGAATCAGAAAAAGAAAAAAAGAAGAAATGTCGCTTAAAAAATGTTTTTCTCAGAACAGTGAATCTTCTCTATGTGTTTTAAACAGTTTAGGATTCAGCATTTCTCTATTAAATGGTATAAAACAACTAATGAACAAGAGTAACATTGCAAAACAACCCTGAACTACCTGCCTTGCCCTTTTAGTTTTTGTGTTTTTAATAACGTGATATATCAACGGCACCTAACAACAACAACATATAGGTAAACTGGCCTATAAAGCGACAGAATTGTCTTTCCTTAAAAATATGTCATTCTGCTTGACTAGATTGACTCCTCAGTGTATGACTTAAAAATTAATTCCACACGTTACACATCATTTTATCCTCTTGTCTATTGCTATTGAGAAACAGTTTTAATTCTCCTGAAATCCAGATTTATGGGGTCTGTGAAGTTAGGGTGACCCACTCCGGCCATTGCTTTGAGAGCTTAACCTTGAGCCTTGAAGAAACCGCTCTTGCTAAAGTTACCTTTAGGTCAAACAGTACTAAAAAAAAAAAAAAAAACCCGTAGGACACAGTAGAACTGCCCATATGGTTTCCAAAGAGCAGCTGGTGGATTCAAACTGCCAACCTTTTGGTTAGCAGCCGAGCTCTTAACCACTGCACCACCGGGGCTCAAACAATAGCCTTGCTTAATTTGTAGAAAAGTGTTCACCTTGGGTCTTATGAAGAATAATCTATGTACAGTCAGTTTTGAGAAACAGAAACTCCAAGGTCAGACTAGAAGCTGTGTTTTAGGGTAAATTGTTATTATGAAAACACTGCTCTGGCCCCATTTCCATGGCAATGTGTAATTACTAGTAATAAAATGAAATATAAAAATCTGTGAAAGATTTCTCATCTTCGGAACATTTTTGACTCTCTAGTCAAAATGTTACCCTGATTTGTAAATCATATATTCAGCAAATTTAATTCAATTTCTGTTTTTGGCTTAATATGATTTTTGTTTTAACACCGTACATAAATCGAGTGATTTTGTGTGAATTCTAATACAACTATTTTTTTTATTTCAAGGCAGAGCTTCAGTCTAGAACCCAATGGATAACTTTACTATATTAAATTCAGAGGAGTCTATTTCATAACTTTGAAAATCTGTCATTATTTGATTCTAGCAGTTCTATAAATGAGTTGTAAATCTTTTTAATTTTCTAGATTCACCTAGTCTATGCATTGTGAGAATGAAAGAATGATCTATGGGAGGATTACTAAAATTCATGTAATCATCACAAGACCAGAGAACAGAGGAGCTATAATAATGCAAACGATGATAATGTTTATAATCTTTAAATTTAAAATAAAGTTGTTTGAGACCACAGTTCAGCAAGCTGGCTTTCTTCTCACCCACCAAACTTGGCTTTCTTCTAAAAGTTAATGACAACTTAATGTGGGGATATAGGCCATTTCAACATAGCTACACTCTTGACAACTGCAGCTCCCCACAGGCCCCTGTGCTGTACACAACATGCTGAGACTTGTCAGCGATGAGAAAGAGATTAGGCACGACCTGTTTTCCCAAAACCTACTGTTCCTTTACTAATTGACTTGTTTACTTGAAACCCATTCTCCCTTGCCCGAAACTGATTGTTATTCACCCAAAGCCCATTGTTCTGTTATTTGCTTCACTGCTTGCTGTATTGACTATAAATAAACTCTGGGACTGAAGCCGGTGTCGACTCCTCTGAGTGACCCTCCTTGGCCTCACTTCTCTGTAAGAGTTGTGCAGTTGGTTACTGTCGCCGTCGCCGTTCCGACAACTTAACCCGTTTATAATGTTTTACACTTAGAATGTGCTTTCTCACGCAGATCTCCTTTCATAAAGTAAGACATGCTCTAATTATTATCTTTTCTTTTTCAGGTGGTGACACTGAGGCCCTGAGAGTTGATAATGACTTATCTACTGGATGCATGGAGCAGGGAATCACTAGCTCTCTGACTGTGAATTGTGTCATTTTCTATGCCTTCTCAGTGGGAAGCCAGACAGGGAAAGCTGCCATTATTTTTCCAGTATGCCAATAATTTTAGCTTAAATTGTTTTCTTTATTTTTAAAAGGTCATTCATACACATGGCACAAAATTTTAAAATGTACAAATGGTGTGAGTGAGAAATAAGTCCCCTTCTCTTTCTTGTTCCCTTAATCCCTTACTTTTCTTTCTAGAAGCAATACTGTCATGGGTGTCTTGTGTATTCTGCCAGAAATATTCTATAGGGATATTCTATAGCTCTCTGAAATATTTTATTCTCTCTTCCTTCCCTCTTAAAGACTCCACTTCCTTTTTTATAAAAGGCTATTGTCTGAAAAAATACAAACACCATTTAGAACAAATGTTAAACTGCAGAAAGTCTTTGGTAAATGGATCATGCAGTTGTTCCCAATGTTTGAAATGGTGAAGAAAACTCATTACTCAAAGTAACCTGCAAAAAGAGGTAACTAAAGCTGTCCCAGTGATGTGGCACCATAACTGACCTAGGCCTGTGTTCCGTGGTAGCTTATGTGGAGGCCACTCAGAAACCTTGATGTTGATTTTTGATGTGGTGACTGCAGAGCTATGATGCTATGAAATGAGGTGAACCATCAAATCTTTGCCCTTGGAGCCAAACAGACTTGAGTTGGAAACCTGATTCTGTCACTTATAGTTGCTTGACCTTGGCAAAGTCACTTAACCCTCCTATGACTCAATTTTCTCATCTATAAAATGGTAATGATAACAGCCACTACATAAATGTGAAAGGAGCCCTGGTAGTGCAATGGTAAGCACTCAAAAAGTTGGTGGTTCAAACCCACCCAGTGGCTCCATGGGAGAAAGACCTGGTAATCTGCTCCCATAAAGATTACAGCCTTGGAAACCCTATGGGGTGGTTCTGCTCTGTCATATGGGTTCGCTATGAATTGAAAATCAACTCCTTGGCACCTAACGATAACAACAATACATAGATGTGAGGATTAAACAAGAAAATAAATGCCGAGTTCCAGGTACATAAACCAAAATGCCAAACCAGTTGCCACTGAGTCGATTCCAACTCATGGCAACCCTACGTGTGCAGAGTAGAACTGCTCCACAGCGTTTTCAAGGCTGTGACCTTTTGGAAGTAGATCACCAGGACTTTATTCCGAGGCGCCTCTGTGTGGGTTTGGACTGGCAAACTTTTGGTGACTAGTCGAGTGCTTAACAAATTGCGCCACCCAGGGACTCATTCCAAGTACATAATAGTTGTATAATAAATGATATCTATATTATTAACTATGGCCCATCTGTTCATTCATTCTTTCATTCAGTAAATTGTAGCAGGCACTGTCCTAGGTGTTGGGGATACAGCAATGAATAAAACATTTAAGGAAAAACTGCTGCCCTTTCAGAGTTTACATTTGAGTTGGAGGAGGCAACAATTCAAACAAACAAGTAAACTGTATGTTAGACAAAAGAAAAGAGGAATATGAGTGCTGGATGAGGAGGAAGCAGGGGCTGTGGCTTAGAATTTTAAATAAAGTGGTCTGGAGAAGGCCTCCCTGAGAAGATGGCTTTTGAGCAAAGTTCTGAAGGAACTTCAGATGATGGAGAAAGTCATGTGGAAACCTGGGAGAACAAAGTTCAAGGAGAGGGAACAATACGGAGGCTAGTGTGGTGAGATTAGAATGAACAAGGGAGAGAGATACAAGAGATGAAGTCAGAGAAGAAGGAGGGTACAAATAATAGAGGGCCCATGGGCCATTGAAAGAACTTGGACTTTGAGTTTGAGATGGGAGCCATTGTGAGAGGTCTGAGCAGGAAAGATCACTTTTGCTGTTCTACTGAGAATAGACTATATGAGGCAAGAGTGGAAGCAGGGAGACCAATTAGCAGGTTATTGGATAATGCAGGAGTTGTGATTTGGACTAAAGTTGTATTAACCATGGAAAGAATAGTGGTGTGATTCTCGATATAGATTGAAAGTAGAGGTAATAGAATTTGCCTGTGGAAAGAAGGTGGGGTGTGAGAATACTAGAGGAAAGAAGGATGATTCCATGATTTTTGGCCTGAGCAACAGGAAGTATGAAGTTGCTGTTAACTAAGATGGAGAAAATTTGGGAGAAATAGGTTTTGGGTAGAGGGTGGAGGTCAGATGTTTGATCTGGAGTTTGTTAAGTTTGAGATTCCATTTACACATCTAAATTGAGATGATCTGTTGAATGGGCATTTTGATATACAAGTCTGTAGTTCAGAGGAGAGGTCCAGGCTAGGTGCTGTCATCAATGGAGAGAGTGGAGCTAGAGAAGGCAGGAGATCCAAGAATGGAGCCCTGGGCACTCCAGGTATAGGAGGTTAGGGAGATGAGGAGGAACCTGTGAAGGAGACTGAGGAGCAGCCAGATGAAGTAGGAGGAAACCTAGGAGTGTGGAGTCCTGAAACCCAAGAGGAGAAAGTGTTTCAAGGAGGCAGGAGGGATTGGCTGTGTCAGATGCAATTAAAAGATCAAGTGGGATGATTGAGCATTGGTTGTAGCAACGCGCAGGACTTTGGTAACTTTGATGGAGTACTGGGGACAAGGGCTGATTGGAGTGGTCAAAGAGAGAGTGGGAGAATTGTAGACAGTACCTCTCTTGAGGAGCTTTGCTATAAAGCAGAGCAGAGAATGGGAAGTCAGCTGCAGGGGAAAGTGGGGTTAAGAGAGGTTGGTTGGTTTGTTTGCTTTTCATTTAAGATGGGAGCAATACAGTTGCATGCTTCCATGCTGATGGGAATGAACCAGGACGCAGGGAAAAACATGATGCAGGAGGACTAGCTGAGAATTGCTGGAGCACTGTCCTTGAGTTGGCAAAAAGCGGTGGGATCTAGCATACAAATGAAAGGGTCAGCCTGGGACAGGAGCACGGACAGTTCAACCAGAAAACCCGTAGGGAAGACTGAGTATAGGGGCATGATGCCGGTGTATAGGTAATGGAGGCACTCACTTGCGGGGGTTCTTCCTGATGGCTTTGAGTTTCTCAGTGAAATAGCTGGTAAGGTCAAGGTCATCAATAGAGAGTAATCCTTCGGAAGGTGGTCTTAGAAGTTTGAGGAGAAAGAAGGTATGAAATAGTCAGTTAGGAGATAGGACAGGCTATTATTACTGAGCCCCAGGGAGGACCCACTTAAAGCTGGTAGCCTTCATTTGCATTGAGAGCGCTGGGCATGGTTGTTTGGTTTTTTCTGTTCTGTTTCAGCCACATGAGTGCAGGTACAAAATGGGCAAAAAACTGGAGTTAATCAGGACTGGGGTTTTGCCTTTTAGTTTTTATTAATGTATGTTAATATGCCATCACAAATTCATGATTTGTTTGAAAGTAAACCTATAAAAGCTAAATATTTTCATTAGGTAGTGAAAAATATTCTGAGTATAAGAGCAAAAATAATGCTGCTTTAAGATTAACAACTCTAGTAGTTCCAGCCACCAATTAATTTAAATTTATCGTTATACGTCCGTTATCATTTTTCACATTTTGTATTTCAAGAAACATAGTTATTTTTCTTATCTTCTTGGCATGGAGTGCTATAAGTGTGCCAGAAATCAGCCCACTAAATATTTACTTATAAATGCACTTATTTCAGCCAGCTGGTGTGTGTTTGTGTTCAAATCTGTATCTTAAAAAAAAAAAGGACCAAATTTGGCAGATCACAAAACAAAATTTTTTTTATCATTTGCATGACTTAGCATAGTTCACATAATTTTGATAATCTCTTTTTGAGCAATTTAGCATTTTCAAGCTTGTGTGTATCATTTGTTTCTATTGGAGCACAAAATCTCTGATAGTATATTAAGAATTTTGGGACTCTGGGTTAGCACTTTTCATGAGTTCAATTTAGTAACTGAACTGAATTCTGCACTAAGTCATCTGTGCACACTGTTTTATTGTTGACGAGCAAGGCTAGAGTTGTTGGGGTTTGGGAGGTTACAGGACGAGAAATCAAACTGGTGGTTTTACCAGTGGATGGAATGAGAGATTGAATGTGAAAAAGACCCCATTCTGTCATGATTTCTTAAATTTTTCTACAAACTTTCTTAGAACGCTTATGTTTTATGCAAGTTCTGTATTTGCCCCAGTATCGCTTAAGGGTTCAGAGAATGGTCTTTGCAGGCAAGAAAAGCTGAGCTCAGACCCCCAAGTCCGCAATCCATGAGCCTGTGACTTTGGGAAAGTTACATAACCCCTCTGGGCCACTTGCCAGTTGAGAAGATTAACTATGCGAAGTGCTAAGCGGAGTGCTTGACACTTAGCAAATGCTCAGTTTATTCTAGGAATTAGCATTCATACATCCCTGCTTTTTAAAACGAAAACTATACTTTAAATGACTAACCACTAACTAAAATGTAGATGCTGACAGGTACCCCTTTTGATGGGCACAGCTCTATGGACTCGTGTGATGCTAGCCCTGCAGGAGCAGACTCTGCAAGTGGAGGGGACAATAGAGATCATTCTTAGGTGAAGTTGGGGCTCAGAGAAGTTGAGTGACTGCCCGCCATCACACAGCCAGGCTAAACGCTGAGCTGAGACTAAGGACTAGGCCTCCTGGGTCCTGGTTCCATAGGTCTAGGACATAGTTCATGAATTAAAAAAACAAAAAAAGATTATAAACCTTTTCCTGAAAGAATAATTTAACACCCTAGGGGAACTGGACCTTGCATTATTTAACAATGTTCCACACTTCTAAATAACATTAAATTTTATTGGAAAACTCCACTGGCTTAGTTTTCTGATTCCATGGTTACCACATCTTTATGAGCACAACTTTGTCAAACCACAGGCCAGTAGCTCTCAGATACTCTATTTGAGATTTATGTTCTGTTTATATTTTATGTTCCAAGTCAGATGACTCAGCTATTTATTAGTAAAACAAATGTCCCTTTCCTCAGTCCATGTTAGCACGAAACTACATAAATTAATAAGCTTCATCCATAAACCTGTAAAATGGTAGGAGCACCATCTATTATGATTAAATTGTGTCCCCCCAAAAGATACGTAGAGGTCCTAACTCCAGTACCTGTGACTGTGACCTTGTTTGGAAATAGGGTCTTTGAAATATGATAGGTTAACCTGAGGTCATACTGGAGGAGGGTGGACCCAGATCCTGTATAACTGATGTCCTTATAAAAAAGGAGAAGACATACAGGGACAGGGAGATAGGAAGCATGCCATGTGACACTGCAGCTGTGAGCCAAGGAACATCTGGCGCTACCAGGGGCTAGGAGAGAGGTGTGGAGCAGTTTTTCTCTCAGAGCCCTTAGAAGGAATCAACATAGCCGATACCCTAGTTTGGACTTCTAATCTCCAGAACTGTGAGACAATAAATTTCTATTATAAACTCCCAGCTTGTGGCCTTTTGTTTGGCAGCCCTAGAAAACTAACACACCACCTCCCCTAGTCAGCAGGGGCTGGTGAAGAATCTGCCTTTTCCTTCCACTTTCATGATCTGAATTTTTAAAATTCTCATTAATTTCTCTTTCAACTTATCATACTTGGAGGACACTATCAACAACATTGTCGTTTTTAAAAATCGATATTTCAAACACTGCATGCTTTTAAGTGGCAGTATAAATGAATTTTAACAGTGATCACGTTCTTTGCTAAAACCAAAATGGTAACCCTTCATACATTTGTATGGTGGGATTATAGATGCAGTATTTTCTTTATTTTCAAAGGTACTTGAAACATGTTCAAACTACATATACAAAAAACAAACTCTAATATTTTTAAATGGTGTTAATTGCTAAATTCTTGAACATGAAGTTGTTTTATCCAGTGATACAGAAATGGCTTAATATTTTTGATGCTACTCTTCCTTTGTTAGGTAAACACTCACCTAGAGCCTCTCTATTGGCCAGGCACAATGCTTGGCACCCAGGTACAAGACTGAATAACACATGGTCTCCTCTGGGTTCAAGGGCCCAGTCCAGGAGGGAAAAGTACAGAAGCTGATAATTATAATTCAAAGTTGGAAATGCAATAATGCCTTTAAGTCAGGGTGTCACTTCTATTGCTGAAAAAGGATTTTAAAAAAATTGCCAAAAATATGAAATGGACTGAAAATAGCACTGTGAAACATAGCCTCTGGTCAGACTTTTTTTCATGTGGATATCTGTTTTGCAGATATAATGATTGACCCAAATTGCATCATTTGTTTTATAAATTAATTGTATATCACTATTCCATTCTACTGGTAAAACAGTAGGCTTGTAAATATTTTTTCCAAATGATCATTTACAAAAATAACATTACTGGTTACTTTTTGTTGCCTTCCCTTCCCCATTAGGACACTCCTTAACATATTTTGTTGTTGATTCTCTGAAATACAATTAAATAAATGAAGATAGATAACTATAAATACATATTTATATAAACTTTATATAAACTTATAGGTAAATTTATGTAAACTATAAATTCACTTCTCTGAATTTTGTGTTTACCACTGTAAGTAACTATGTTTGTAATTCTTTGACTCATATGCCAATATTGTATTTTCTAAGTCATGATTTCTAAGTGTTGCATGGCTGTGGACTCAGTCACTTTATATACTGTTATCAGACCAAAAGACTCAGATTGTGTTTACTTTCTTTGTATGTATGTATTCTTGGTGGTGTATGCTAGTTAAATCATGGAGTAGTTTTAAAATACATGACAAAAATAGCTAAGAATAAAGAAATGTCTCTTCTTTCCTGGTTGAATAAACTGTGACTATGCAAAGATCCAACTTAAATTCTAAACTTACCATCTAATTCCCCAAGCCTGTTCATTCTCCCAGTAAACTGAGTCAATATCTACCGCATTGAGCCCCAGTGGCACAATGGTCAAGAGCTTATTTGCTAACTGAAAGGTTGGTGGTTTGAACCCACCCAGCAGTGCTGCGGAAGAAAGGCCTGGCCATCTGCTTCTGTAAAGATTAAAAACCAAAACCAAACCTATTGCCGTCGAGTTGATTTCTGACTCATAGCGACCCTGCAAGACAGCCTATAGGTTTTCTAGGCTCTAGTCTTTATAGAAGCAGACTGCTACATCTTTTTCCCACAGAGTGGCTGGTGGGTTCAGACTGCAAACCTTTCGGTTAGCAGCAGAGCACTTAACCATTAGGCCACTAGGGCTCCTTTTCCGTAAATCACAGCCAAGAAAACCCTATGGGGCAGTTTTACTATGTCACATGGGGTTGCTACAAGTCGAAATCTATATCATGGCCCCCAACAACAACATGTACCTAACTGCCCAAGGAAATCACCTTTGAGTCTTCTCTCCCTGTCCTTGGCCATGAGTAGAGTAGATTCTTCTCCTAAACCTGTGCCTGATCAGCTCACTTCTCTCTACTTCTACAGCTTCTACCTTAGTTCAAATCTGGAATCCTCCTGTGGCTTGAGGCCACTTCATCTTCCCACTTATGTTCTCTCCTTCCTCCAGCCCATTCTCTAGCCTGCACTCTTTGCTCTTTCTAAGATGCAGCTCTTATAATTTTACTTCCCTTTCATATGCTGAATTTAACCAGATAAATCATGTCAAAATTTTTCTGAAAGGATGTAGAACAGAATTCTAACTCACAAAAAAAGACCAGATTTACTGGCCTGACAGACTGGAGAAACCCCGAGAGTATGGCCCCCGGACACCCTTTTAGCTCAGAGGTGAAGTCACTCCTGAGGTTCACCGTTCAGGTGGGGATTGGACAGCCCCATAAAACAAAATGGAACTAATGAGGCACAGCAGTCCAGAGACAAGGATTAGAAGGCAGGAGGGGACAAAAAAGCTGGTGATAGGGAACCCAAGGTTGAGAAGGGCCAGTGTTGACATGTCGTGGGGTTGTTAACCATTGTCATAAGGCAATATGTGTATTAACCGTTTAATGAGAAACTATTCTGTAAACCTTTGTCTAAGGTACAAAAGAAAAAAGTTATGTGAGATCAAACTGACAACAGCAACTCAAAAAGTTTGATGGGAAGCCTAGGGGCCAGTGAGTTGAAGATAATGGTGATGGAATGATTTGGAAAAGGATAGTGAGAATAGCAGCACAACTGGAAGAATGTAATCAATGTCACTGAATTGTACCTGTAGAAATTTCTGAAATGGTGTATCTTTGGCTATGTATATTTTCACCAAAAAAAAAAAGGTCCTCCAAGGTTGAGAAGGGAGAGTGTTGACTTGTCGTGGGGTTGTTAACCTATGTCATAAAACAGTATGTGTACTGACTGTTTAATGAGAAACTATTTGTTCTGTAAACCTTCACCTAAAATACAATAAAAAAAATTAAAAACAAATTTTTTTCTGAAAACACCAGCCCTTCTGCCTTTCATTCATCACATTAGCAAAACACATAGCATTACCTCTGAAAGGCTCAGATATCCCAAATTGACAAGGCATCTGGATTCCCTTAGGTAACCAGAATCAATAATAGCACTTACTGAGTATACTATTCTGAGCATGTTCAGTGTGTAACATTTTTAACAAAATCAACAATAATAATTATTGCTACCATTTACTGAGAGTCTACTTTATATTCAGGCATCATATATCTGTTAGTTGTTACCTTAAAACCACCCTCATGAGGATTATGAAATGAGGGAACAGGCTTCCTAGAAGGTCAAGTTTTGCCCCAGGCCAGTCAGCTAACATATAGCAAGGGATTCCAACCCACACCTGCCTGTGCTTACACCTTGCCCACCCTCAACACCAGACACCTCCCTGCCTTCTGGAAGGGTGCTGCTCCCATGCCTGTAGTGGTGCCACACAGAGCGTGGTGATACAAAGGGAAATTAAAATGTTGTGGCAAAGTCAAGCAAGCTGCTTTGATTTGTTACTTGTAAGGGAATAAAGGCTGACGCTAAGCTGACAGCACCAAATCCATCACTTAACCTGTCACTGCTTTGGTTTCAGGCACATGTTTAGTGACATGCTTAGGCTCAGAAGTCCTTGACATCTGGTGGAGTCACAGAATCAGGACCCTGGGAAAATTTCTTAAAATACTTATCGTATTTCAAACCTTATTCTGAGTGCTTACGCTTTGGCGGTGGGGGTGGGGAGTGGGGTATAATTCAGAGAGCTATGTTATCCCACAGAGTCTGAACGAGGACCTGTCATTTGCAGAACTTGATTAACCAAGGACTTGTATTTTAGAAGGAAGTAGATTAAGAAAAATCTGTAACCATTTCCTATCGTATGCTTAGTTTGTTACAGAAAATTAGAGAAGGCGCTTACTTGTTCTTTAAGTGGAAAAGTCCCAAATAATGTTTGGTATGAATAAATTCTCTAAGTGGATGTCTTAAGAAAAAGTGATGTATTATGATGGCCAGTGGCCAGGACCTGGTTTGCTAGTCTGATGCAACTTGTGGTGATGTCTGAAGACAAAGAATGCACACTTACACGTTAATGCAAGGGAGATTTCCTTATTGTCATTTCCAGCATTGCTTGGTCCAGAGGAAGAGGGAAGAGGAAGGAAGGAAGGCCAGCGGGTATGCCACACTGTCACTTGTTGGTTCTTGGCCACTTGTTGGTCTGCTGGTCATCTTTGTCCTATTAGGAGAGAGACAGCACTTCTGTCAGCAGGGCTGGATGGGGGCAGCAGCCTCACCAGCTGGAGAGCATGTCCCTGTGGCCTCAGATGTCTCTGGAGGGGTGGTTCAGGGCTTCCTCTTTTATGGGGCTCATTAGGTGTTGTCTTGGCCCTTATCTATGCTACCAGAAGTGCTGGGCTGCCAGATCCCCACTTCATCTCAACCAACCCAACATGCTTATTCAAACCAACACTGATATTATCCTAACAATTTGTCTTAAGTATTTGGGACAAAGACTTAAACAAATTTAGTCCTCAGTCTGCCACCTACAGGTTTAAAGCCCTTTTATTTTCTTGGTGCTTTGATCACAGGGTGCCACCTAGGTCCTGAAAAGATTTTTCCCTGAAAGGCCCCGGCTAGAGACCAGCAGAGTAACCTGCTCTTCATCTAATAAGATTTTGGTAATAACTGGTTGTTTGCTACACTCCCACATACAGCCCCTCCCAGCCTGACCAGTGAGACACTTGACCCCTGCTTAAATGAACTGAGGAGTCCTTGGGTGGAGCAAACAGTTAAGCACTGGGCTACTAACGAAAGGTTGATGGTGCAAACCTAGCCAGAGGGACCTCAGAAGACGAGCCTGGTGATCTGATTCTGAAAGGTCACAGCCATTAAAACCCTATGGAGCCATTCTACTCTGTACACATGGGGTTGCCGTGGGTCAGAACCGACTCAACAACAACTGGGCAAATGAACTGGCTCAAGCTCCACTAACTTCTGGAGGAGGCTGTCAGAGCTCCTGGCCATGCAGATGCCCACCTACTTATGGGGGGAGCAGACGCTGGTGAAGCCATCTAGTCACCACTTACCCATTTTGGGGTTTTTGGGCTTTTGAGGTACAAAGTGGAAGGTGGAATTAGAGCAGCCCCATGACCAAAATGATCTATTACCTCACTTTACTTCCCAACATTCAATGTCCTTAATAAACCTAGAATTTCTTAAATCATCAGTTTGTATAAAGAGAGACTGTAGAAAATGGAGATGAACTTTTGCCTTGTCTCCAACATGAGGACCCAGCAGGCTGGAGGAATTACCAAAGAGGGAGGAGATAGAGCAAAAAACACCAGGCCTGAAGCCAACTATTGACACTATCATGGTTAACATTTATTGAATGCTGTGTTCCTTTTCCTTTTTTCTTCCTTCTTTTTCATAAAAAACTATTGACTATATTAGTTTATGATTATAGTATAATCTACACATAACCTCAGGACAAGGAAAAGTAAATGATTAGGGAGGTAACCGAACCAGGATATCCAGATTTTCTAAAGTGACTATACTAATTACTATGTTGTTGTTGTTGGGTGCCATCGAGCCAGTGTCAACTCATAGCAGTCCTATGTACAATGAAGCACTGACCAGTCCTGTGTCATCCTTAAAATTGTTGCTATGTTTCAGCCCATTGTTGTAGCCACTGTGTCAATCGATCTCGTTGAGGGTCTTCCTCTTTTTTGCTGACCCTCTACTTTACCAATTATGATGTCCTTCTCCAGGGACTGGTCCCTCCTGATAACATGTACAAAGTATGTGAGATGAAATGTCGCCATCCTTGCTTCTGAGGAGCATTCTGGCTGTACTTCTTCCAAGACAGATTTGTTCATTCTTCTGGCCAAAACTAAAAAAAACAAACCCATTGCTGTCAAGTCGATTCCGACTTATATATTCAATATTCTTAGCCAACACCATAATTCAAAGGCATCAATTCTTCTTCAGTCTTCCTTATTCATTGTCTAGCTTTTGTATGCATATGAGGTGATTGAAAATACCATGGCTTGGGTCAGGCACACCTTAGTCCTCAAAGTGACATCTTTGCTTTTCAACACTTTAAAGAGGTCTTTACAGCAGATTTGCCCAACACAACACATCATTTGATTTCTTGACAGCTGCTTCCATGGGCATTGATTGGGGATACAAGTAAAATGAAATCCTTGACAACTTCAGTATTTTCTCCATTTATCATGACGTTGCTTACTGGTCCAGTTATGAGGACGTTTGTTTTCGTTATGTTGAGGTGCAATCCATACTGAGGGCTGAGGTCTTTAATAATCTTTATCAGTAAGTGCTTCAAGTCCTCTTCATTTTCAGCAAGCAAGGTTGTGTCATCTGCATAGCACAGGTTGTTAATGAGTCTTCCTCCAATCTTTTTTTTTTTTTT